GGGTTCCAACCAGTATTTATTGGCCACCTTAGCATGCGAGGCATGGCCTCAGGAACAACAGAAACTATCAAAGTTGTGCACTCATAAAACCACAATTGCGCAAAAACAAGTAATTCAATGTTATGATAGGAAGGCACTAGAATGAAAAAAACATTTTGCAAAGATGAATAATACACTAACCGTCAGGAGAAAAACAAATCCATTTAGGTAACCCAATGGTTGACCCATCTTTTTTTTAATGGCACAAGCATTGACTTGCTCAATGAGCTATTCACATATAGTTGCAGGCTAATTAAATAAATCAAAAGAATCCAAATTCTCAGTAAATGAATAAAGCACTTCGACCACACCAAAATTGCTTGAAGGAAAAAAAATATTGACAACAAAAACTTAATAAATAGTTCATCGACTACACCAGATGACTCTCCGAGTGACACATTAACTAGTTCACTATTCGTTTTCCTGGCATCCATACCACTAAGAGGCTGTTTCCAGCTTGTTGTTGGTCCTCTGTTAAGAATGCCAATCAGCAAAGCAACTTGATCTGTATCAAAACTCACCTCCTTCCCGCCCAATTTGAATAACACACGATCAATATCCCAACTATTCAAAATGTGCATTGTTAGGATATGATCTTGAGGATATGGGGGGGGGGGAGTTAAAAAAAAAATGATGAAAATTCAATTCTATCAGTCTTCTCTACGTCTCTTCTAAAACAGTGGGTCAAACCTTCTCTAGCACATCTCTAACTGTCGAAGGACGGCATCTGCAATTCATTCACTTCTTGTTCATCAACCTACATCAATAATAAAGAATTTATTAACACGAATAACATAAAAATTTTCAAAATACTTCTTTAGATAACCTTCCTAAAAAATTGTTAAATAACCCTGATATAACTCTGAAATAACTGTAGATTAAATCCCAGATGAAGTCAAAAGTAACATAGAAATAAACCAATAATAAGACAACAACAACCTAGTAAAAACCCCACTAATAAGTCTACAATAACCTACAAATAACTTAAAATATACACAATCGTAACCCTTCATTAACCAAACACTAGCCGAAGAATAAATTCCACGAAACCCCTAAACCAAAACAAACGACAAAATAACCCCATAATAATTCACGAATAACCTAATAATAAACTCCTCAATAAACCCTGACTAAACAAATATTATCACGAGAATAACTCCCACAAAGCCAGGCCTTAATGCGATATTAACTCATAAATAACCAAATAATAACCCAATAATGACCCACAAATAACCCAAGAATAATCTAGATTAACTCATAAAAAGAACAATAACTACGGCTACAATAACTCATAAGTAACACATGAAAAACTCATAATTAACCCATAAATAACCCAACAATTAACCAATAATATATGCCAAAAATAACCTACATATAAGCAAAGAATAACCTACCAAATAACCCCCAAGCATAAACAAAAAATAACTCAACTATATACCAGAACAAAGAACTAAGAATAATCCAAATTAACACTTAAACAGAGCAAAAACCCATGACTACATTAACTCATCTATAACCCAAGAATAATCCATTAATAAACCAAAAATTAACCATTAATAACTGCAAAAAATAATCTAAATATAACCAGAGAATAACTTAGCAATGAACCCCGAAGAAAATCAATCCAGATTAACTTATAAGAATAAAACCCACAGCTATAACAATTCATAAGTAGCCCAAGAATAACGAATAAATAACCCAAAAATTAAGCAATAATAGCTGCCAAAATAACCAAATATAAACTAGGAATGAACCCTCAAGCATAAACCATTAATAACCCAAGAAAAACCTAAAAATGTGCTAACAATAACCTAACTATAAACATAAACTACCTGTCAAACTAGACTGAATTATAAAATTTAGCCGGAATAGAACGATCACATATACCAGGACAACTTCTCAGCTTTATTCACCTTCGTATTCGACCTCTTCACATCCTTTTGCTTCCTTTCTTTTTTTAAATTCTTTTTCGGCTGTTCTTGGTCACCTTTGTTGGCCTCCTCCAACTTCGACCTTCTGAGCTCTTCCAACTGCATACTCTTCGAATCATCGAACATTATTTTCTTCACCTCTTCTTCCAGTTGCATATTTTTGGTGTACTTTGTTGGATAGAGCCCGGTCCGGTTCACCCGATCCCGTCATCCCGCTATGTCGTGACCTGACTCCTGCTCTTGCTCACGATCGCAGAAAGTTGCAAATCCTGCTGTTCGCGAACCACTCCCTCTTCCTCTGCTGTTTAGTGAATCGATGCCGCCCGCTCATTTAAGTTGCAAATAGTAGTCTCCTCTCTTCCTCGAGAGTGTGATCAACTGCACAAAATTTTGGGTTTTTCTTTTGGCTTCCTCGGGGATAAAGGAAGAGAAGTGTAAGCAGTAGTTCCTTGCAGTAGAAGGAAGAAGAAAGAAGAAGAAAAATATTATTCTCCCTTGGCTTCTTCTTGGTGGCTTATGACAAAAGAGAAATTGGGTTTATTTCTCTTGTAAGTTTATCTTCTTTGGTGTATCTCGGAGTAAAGAGAGAAGAAGAGAGAGCAACAAAGTGAGAGATCCCTCTTGTAAGTCGAGAGGATTGCCTGGTGTAAATTTCTCAAGTAGTAAAATCCTCTGCAACTCCGTGGACGTAGGCAATTTACCAAACCACGTAAATCTATGTGTTCCACTGTGTTACAATTTTCTGGAGTGAATTTTCTTGTTCTATTTTTTCTCTTTATCAAAGAGTGTTCTTCTATTTTTCTATATACCATAACAACTGGTATCCTATTTCATATATACCACAACAACTGGTTTCAGAGCCAATGACTGCAGATGAAGTGAAGGTATCAGAGATCGAGAAATTTGATGACATAAATTTTGGTTATTGGAGGATGTAGTAAAGGACTAACTCTATGGGAAGAAACTTCATCTTCCCGTATTGGGGAAAAGACTTGAAAAAATAAATGAGGCTGAATGAAATTTGTTGGATCGATAAGTCTTGGGGGGTTATTCAATTATCAAGTTCCGTTGCACACATTGTCATCAAGGAAATGATGACTGCAGATCTCATGGTAGTTTTATCAAGTATGTATAAAAAACCATCGGCGAATTACAAGATATATCTGATGAAGAAGTTATTAAATTTGAAGATGACAGAAGGTGTTTATGTTGCTGAACACCTGAATGATTTGAATACTATCACAAATCAATTGTCGTCTGTTGAAATTGATTTTAAAGATGAGATACATGTGCTGATATTGTTGGCATCATTGTCAAACAATTGAGAAGCCATGAGGATGACATTATCAGTTCTGCAGGTAAATCTAAACTGAAATGTGATGGTATTCATGATTTGATTTTTGTTGAGGAGGTGTGCAAGAAAGATTATGACGAGATCTCAGGTACGAGTTTGACACTGAATGTTGATTTTAGAAGGAGATGACAGAACGAGAACTCAAATAGAGAGATTAAAATCAAAGTCTGGTCAGCAAGCAATCTGCTGGAATTGTGACAAGGCTGGTCGCATAAAGTAGAACTGCAGAAATCCCAAGAAGATGGAAAATGATAGCGCAAATGTGGTATCTAAAGAAGTATAAGATGCACTATTGCTAACAGTTCATAGTTTTGTTGATGATGAAAGTGAAGAGGAGAGTGGGTCCGGGGCACCCATTCCTATTGTTCCACTAACAAATGGTGGAAAATCATAGAGCTATGAGGAAATCTTGCAAGATGAAAGTTCGAGTAAGTGGGAGCTGGAAAAACTTCCACCAGGGAAGAGGACATTACAAAATAAGTAGGTGTACCAGGTGAAGACTGAGCGTGATGGCAGTAAGAGGTACAAGGCTAGACTTTTTGAAAATGGCTTTTAGCAGAGGCAGGATATTGCCCGTGCAGTGAGAGTTGTAAGCAGAGACAAGAGTAACCTAAGAAACAGCTTGGAGGTGCAAGACTATGTGAACCTTGCTGATATGTTGACTAAGGGTGTTACTCTTGAGAAATTGAAATTGTATACAACTTCAGTTGGTCTTCTGGTGTGAAGACAAAGGCTTTGAGTTGCAAAGGTGGAGAATTCATGTTTGAAACAAATGGCTATACCGCCAGTGGATGATATCACTTTGAGGAAGAAGACATTGTAGTCTGTGTACCGGTCTCCAAGTGAGAGATTTTTTTGATGGAGCCCGGTCTGGTTTGCCCGATCCCGTCACCCCGCTCTTTCGCGACCCGACTCTTGCTCCCACTCACAATCGTGGAAAGTCGCAACTCCTACTATTCACGAACCACTCCCGCTTCCTCTGTTCCTCTGTTGTTTCGCGAATCGACGCCGCCCCGCTCCTTTAAGTCGCGAATAGTAACCTCCCTCTCTCTTGAGAGTGTGATCAATTGCACGGCCTTTTTGTGTTCTTCTTTGGGCTTCCTCGGGGATAGAAGAAGAGAAACGCAAGCAGTAGTTTCTTGCAGCAGAAGGAAGAAGAATAAAAAAGAAGATTGTTCTCTCTTGGCTTCTTCTTGGTGGCTTATGATAGAAGAAAAATTGAGTTTATTTCTCTTATAAGTTTATCTTTTTCGGTGTATCTCGGTATAGAGAGAGAAGAAGAGAAAAAAATTAAGTGAGAGATCCCTCTTGTAAGTCGAGACGATCGACTGGTATAAATTTCTTAAGTAGTAAAATCCTCTGCAACTTCGTGGACGTAGGCAATTTGCCGAACCGAGTAAATCTGTGTGTTTCGCTGTGCTACTATTTTCTGATATGAATTTTCTCGTTCTATTTTTTGATTCATGGTCATTCATTCTATTTTATTTTATATATACCACAACATACTCCAACTCCATTCTCTTAAAGTTTCAACACTAACCTTCCAACACTAGAACACACGCAAAACTCTAGGAGATTGACGATGAGAGCTTCTTAATTCTGTCACATGAAAGTCAAAAAGTTTCTCGACAACAGTATTTTAATAGACATGATGCTCCAAACGTCTCATTAGTCAGGGCTGATGGAACATTAAATTTTTGAATTTTTTTTTAATTACTTCGAGTGGGAGTCCGACTCTGAATTTTCGAGTTCCTTGCACCCTTTTTCTCTCTCCGCGGCTGATTAAAGAATCTGAAGGCGACGGGGCTACGTTATGGCGTCACCCGAAAAGAGCAACTGCGAGCTGCCGTCGGCAGCGAATGAAGCTGAGGACGCTCCCGGAGAATTGGAGAGGATCACGCGTCAGCCCATCTCAACTGTTCTCATCATTATCGGTAGGAGAACCTCACGTAGATTTCTTTTCTACAATTTGATTTGGTAATCTAGATTCCACTGTGGCGCTTTCTTTTTGCCATTTATTTGTTATGCGTCTATCAGCGATGCAGACGGAAGCTATTCCTCTGGTCCACAAATTCCAGCTCTCAGAGGACACTGATGGATTGTGAGTATGCAATAGTTTTGCCCCTTCTCATTGATTTACTGTATTTTTAGTTATTTGATTGGTGACATTCAAGGCGTCTGGTTTGTCTGACCAATCTGACCAATCATCTCTTAGGGCTGCTTGGCTGCAAGTAGGATTTATTTCACGTAGGATTTAGTGAATCCTGGAAGTCAGGATTTATCAAATCTTGAGGTGGCTAAATCCTGAAAACTATTTGGTATGTTAACATGTAAATCCTGGTAAATCCTGAGTAATTGTTTGGCAGCTTTAGTAGGATTTAACTAGATTTAGAGAAAGAACACATTATTGAAACTAGAGATAAAAAATGAAATCGAGCAGGTGTAAATATTTTACATATAGGAAAAATAAATATATATTACTTATTATTGAGTCTTACAAGTGCTACCCAAATGTTGCTAGCAAATGCATGTCTTACAACTTCTACTTGAAGTTTTTCACCAACTGTTGCATGAAAATCAAAATTGTCATTATTGCTTTTCACCTCACCATATTGAGTATTATGTTTCTTCTCAGTTTGTGACATATTAAGATACAAATCATGCCCATGGTGGCGGCCAATAAAATTGTGCAATACTGCACATGCAATCACAATATTAGTTTGAACAAATACAGGAAACTGACGCATATGTATTAACACTTGTAACCTTTCTCTCCAAATCACAAAAGTTCTGTCAACAACATTTTGTAATTGAGCATGTCAATGATTATACAACTCCTGTTTGACTAAATATCTTCTGGAGGCACTGCCATGACATTCACAAGTGATAGTGATATCGTCTAAAGGGCTCCGGGAGTTTATTTGTATTTGTATATCTGGAATCTATCAAATAAAATTTTTTCTGTTATACTTTGAAGTCTCCCTCCTCAATTGCTCAACGCAATACCCCCATATCTGCTGCGGAGCCCTCCCAACCAGAACCTACAAACATAAATTGTCGATCAAATGTGACTGCAACCATCACGTTTTTGAGATGTGAACCCCTTCCTATTCAGTACCTATTTTGTAAAGCTTTGTGAACACTGCGAAATATGTGTGCCATCTATAGCACCTATAGCATTTAAAAAAAAAAGATAAAAATGTGGGTTATTTCTTATAAAAGGATGACATTCCACTTCAACAGGGGGCAACTTAATAAAATATTCTGCTGATGATTGCATTTAATACATTATTAAAAGGTCTGCTGACTGTCTCTAAGGAGCATTGGAAGAATTCACATAGTTGTTTGTAACTATGCGCATGCGCAACTCCTATAAGAAAGATCCCAAGTTGCTCAAATGCAAGCATATTTTTTGTGTGCCTTAATAGACTTCGACTAACCAGTAAGTCTCTAAGCTGCATAAACACATCTGGAGGAAGTTAAAAACAATTATAAGATTCAAACATTTTACTGCTTGTCATATTCTTAGAGATTTAAATAGAGGGGCACATCACTGTGCTCGATTAGCATTATATGATAGGTTTTTGCTTTCATATTTTGACCGACTCCATCCTCTTTTTGCTTTTGTTAGAGGGAATAGGGCCCAGTTTTTTTGGACTACTATGCAGCATCCGTTTCATTCTGTCTGTAACCTCTTTTCATTTATTTTCTTTTAATGCAAAATGTGCATCTTCAAGGGATGAATTAAAAAGGAGAGAAAAAACTAAGGAATTTTTTCGTGAATGGCAAATTGAGTTCCAAAGCTACCATAAACGTCCTTTTAAAGATACAATATTTATTATGATAAAGGTAGAACCATAAAACAAAGGAGATAATTAAATGACATTAAATTATCTTTCAAATGGAGGTTCAAAAATAAATCATTCTTTTTTCAGTAAATCCACTCATTACAATTCCTCGACACAGAAAAAATCTCCTAATGGATTACAGGCGAACATTACAACACACAAGTACACACTTGAAATATCACTAAGTTGGAAAGAAAAATTTGATGCAAGAGTTTTACGAGAATTCTGTAGGTGTTCGGCCATAAAAAATAAGCCTCTTCAAGAAGGCCACATGAATGATTTGGGTGCAACCATGAAGTTTATTGGAAAGATATATTTGATGATAGAAAATTTATATGCGGATGATGTTCAATGAAATTAGATATCAAAATGACATGAATGAACGATTTTGTGCCCTTAGAGCATCACCTACTATAGTTTTGTTTCTTGCATGTTCTGGCATAGCAAAAAAGACCCAGAAAAGTTTTACTTCTAAAGAAATTAATGAGTTTTTGTTCTTTTATTGGGAAAGGTAGAGCTCTCAATTATTCGAGAGGGCTGCATGGAGAGCATGATGGGGAAAACTTCTTAATTGTTGGCAGCAAACATAATGCACTGGATTTAGTAGCGTCAATAACATTGATGGTTCAATGTCGTTATATTAATGAAACATCATTTTGATTTGTCTTGTTAATATTTTATAAGTGAAGTATTTTAATTGTTCTTTCCACCTATGTTATTAGGTGATATCGGCACTTGGTTTTATTGTTTAAAATCATTGATTGTTATTAATTGTGTTCTTGTCTTTTATATTTGGTTGTTTCTCCTGTTGAATTTTTATTTTTTTTCCTCATATGACTAATGAACAGGTTTCCCAAAGGAGTTCCGTGGGTTAGGTATCATGGGAAGTACAAGGACTTGAATATTAATTTGGTTTGGGCAGGGAAAGATTCACTTTTTGGTAAGCTGCCAATTTGATTGTTCTGATGTTGCTTAATATGCCACTTGTATTATTTGTTTCTGTAATGGTGAAACAGGAGCTATCATTGTTCATCAACTTGCAACTAATTCTGGACACTAAAATTTTGACTTTATTAAAGCTTGTTATTGTTGTTTGGTTTGTGAATGTTGTTGAAACATGGGACGATCTTTTAAGATACTGCCATGATAGACATATGAAGAATGTGATGGCAGTGAGTGGCCACAATTGCTAGAACTGTAAATGAGTGTTACAATTGAGTATATACTCTAGGTACAAATTATATGACATATTTCAGAACTTGAGTTCAATTCCGTGATGTCATCAATGAGTTAGTATTTCTATAATGAGAATTTTTTTAGCTTTTACTTAACAATGGATTGTCTATATTTTCATTAATTATTTAATCTATGGTTGTTAAAAATGCTCGGAAATTTCTTGAAAATTGACTTTATATGATTTTGTGCTCTACTCCAAACCTGAAATTGATTGAGTTTGCTCGACTCAATTGAATATAGTTAAAGTTAACTCTAAATTGGCCTTGAAATAAGCATTTTTATTATTATGTAATTCATGTACATAAATAGAAAAGAAATTTTGATTTAATTAGAAATTGATTTTAAATCAACTACAAATTAATTTTGAGTCAACTCAATATAAAATCATTTAGAGTCGAGGTTGAGATTTCGTGCTGAGTTTGAGTTGAGCATTTAATTTATATGTAGCTTTCAAGTGTAACCTAACTCTGTCAAACTCCTCTAGATATCACTCTTTATTCATTCAAACTTAGAAGTTAATTACCCGTGCCACTATTTGTTGCAATTGCGCTGCAAGTGCTACTGTCATTGCTAGTAACATTGTTTTTTCAAGTTGAAGTTCCCACTTGCAATAGTTATGTACAGTCTTTCAAACCACACTAGTAGTAATCAGCTAGTTATCTGATGGATTGGCAGAATGAAATGATGAGAATGGCAAAAATCTATAGTCAAATGAAATAGCTTTTTATTAGCTTTTATTTTCTTTTCCAAACCTTTTCATAGTAGAATATATTTTAAGATCTTAGTGTTGATTCCCAAGTGGTTTGATTAAGATAAATGTCATAGTCATTATGAACTATTATCTACCTCTACTTGTTGGATTGATGCAATATCTGCATAACTGTACTAGCTAAGACATGAGAATATTTTGATGTAAATGCCTTAAACAAGTAAAGTAACAGGAGTGGATCATGTTGGCGCTTAAGAAATGTTTAAGCCTTTTTTATTTCTGCCTTGTCCGTTCTATTTTAGTGTTAGAATATTGGGGTATGCAAGCATAAAACCCATCTTTCAATGAAATTAACTACCCATGGTTTATACAAAAAGTCACTTTAAATGGTCGATTGCTTTTTATTCTTGCTATTCATTATCATTATAATAAACCTTACATAAAATATTATTGATGTTTTTAGGTTACATTTTATAAAAAATAAAAATAGTTGTTATTGCGTATAACATGACGGTCTTACATTGGGTGTGCAGAGTAATATTGTGTTGGATCGAAAGTTTTTAGAGCTTTTCGCAAGCCTGGTCTATTTCTTAACTAACTGGTAAGTGAACATTTCTTGGTTCTCCACACTCGAGATCCTCTCATAAGATACTTTGCCATCCAACGGAGAATTTGTGGGGATGTGGTATGCTGTAAGAGAATTTGTAAAAGCCTCTTGTTTGATAGCTCTTCGAGTAAAATTAACTTCAAATTGTAAGTGATCTTTGACAATGTCTTTATTGTTCATTCTTGGCTTTGTGGTCAGGTGTCAAACGATACCTATATTTCATTATAATTCTCAACATTTGCATGTTAGTGTTGAAATCTTTTTTGGTGAGGTCTATTACTCTTCTTAGAGCTTAAAATCTAGCCTTAGGGTTTCTTGCCTACTATCCTAGAACACTCTTAAGGACTAGTATTGGGACAAATGCCAATTAGAAATTCGAGCCACTTCTTGACTCCTTGCAGTTTCATATGGGTGGTTTTAAATCCTCGACGCTTGGTTGAGTCGATTAAAACCAACGCAACAAAACTCAATTCGAGTACCCATAGGATCTAAAACCATAGGAAACCCATTGCGACCTCCGCGCTCTTTCACGATGCACGAATACCACAATTTGCGCTTTTGATGCACATAATTATCAAAATCCACGACATTTGCACTTATAGAAGGCTTCACGATTGATCAAACTTGAATCATTTGTTGGGAACGATCGATCACGAGCGAGGATTTAGTGAAAATTTGAATTTGACTCTTTTTCTACCCCGTCGTCGGTGAACTTGTCTAGACGACTCCGGATGACGAAATGACTGCGCGATGCGTTCGGAACGTCGACTTTAGTTAGGGAGGACACCCATTTTGATGTGGTTTCGTTAAAGACGATTTGTTCATTAACCAGTACATTTAATGGGTTAATAATAATAAAGTGGTAACAAAAGATATAACATAAGTTAGTACCCTTCACCCGCGCATTATACTACTTCAGCCCTGGACCTCTTCGCGCCCTCTCCTTCCTGTTCGGCTAAGCCCTAACATCGGGTCATTTTTTTTCCTCCAGCCCAGGCGAAACCCTAGCCGTGCCTTCCTCTCGGCGTGACGTGGAGTTGACTCATTGCCTGACACCCTCTACCCGAGATGCCTCTTCCCGAAGCATCGTTTGCCTCATCTCGTCGGGCGAGGAGGGCCTTCGTGATCCTTGGATCCTCGCTATGGTAAGTTGACCCTGGCGACATTGTTCCCTGAGTCACGAATGCGGCAAGCACTCTCCTTCCCGATACCTTTGACCCTTGCGGCTCTTGCTGTGCTTCTTTTCTTTTGCTGGATCGATCCCTGAGTTTGATTCACCCTTGGGGACGTTACAGTGAACTTCTCTACTCTCTTTTGCTCTTATAAAATCCCATGGGAGGGGGGTTATGCGAGGTTACGAAAATTTGGAGCCTGGGGGAGACTCTGCCGAAATTTCTTCTCGGTTAGGCGCTAGGATTCCTTTGCTTTCTTTTGCTGTTTGCAAGAGCTCAAGCAAGGTACTTTCCCCTCTTTTCTGCTCTTCTTCTCTGCTCAACATAGGTTGGACACACTCCACGGGATAAAAAAGGCTCGAGCAAGTTTCTTCTTTACTGAAAAAAAGGGAAATACATACGTATAGTCTTGTTTGCCTTAGCTGGTACTTCATGTTGAAATTGCTATCAGTTATGGATGTTTAAACTTGTAGTGTTTTTGTTAGCTCTGATCTAATTGCTTCATGCTGTTAGCTAAGGGTGTTAGGCTTACAAAGGCAACGATTCAAGTATTATGCATGTGCAGGCTTCTTTCTTGTATTCTTATTACATCTGTACATTTATGCTGAAACCTAAAGGCTGTTTCAGCCCTATCGGTTTGTTGTTTTCTCTTCCGGTTCGTCCCTTGCTACTTTTAACCTCAAGTTGTATTACTTGGGTTTATTTTGATAGTTCTTGGGCTGTATGTATGCAATGTTTTTTTTTTGGTGGACTCATTTGGCTTTGAGATTTTGGAATTGGTTTAGTTCGGTTTGACGGATTTCCTGGCTGCAGTTTTACGAAAAGGTTTTAACGTGACTATAAATGGTTCCCTTTTCTTTTTTTATTGGCTTTGGGGCTTAACCGCTGCCCTTCCCCTGTTCGAGATGCATACAGGTGGTTACTTTTCTTTTTGTCAGCTTTGGAGCTTTTGGAGTTTTATTTTAGGGCTTTGTTTTGTTGCTTCTTTTTGGCCTCTCTGTTCGAAACATATGCAGATGGTCACTTTTGTCTTTGGGGCTTATGAGGTTCTGTCTTGTGCTTTTCTGTTGCCCCTCTACTCGAATCATATGAGGATGGTTAGTTCTGCTGTGGACCTTTTGGATTTTTATCGTGTTTCTTCTCTGTTGCTAGCTCTATTCGAGAGCCTTGTTGGGTTTCTTGCGCTGGTGTAGGCTGTTGTCTTGCCGCCCCTATCTGAGAGCTCTATTTGAGAGCCTTGCTGGATCTATTCGAGGATCTTGTTGCGGTCTCCCTGTGTTGGTTTTGGTGGTGCTTTTGCTGCTCCCACTTAAGATTAGTTGTTTGAGTCCCTCTTCTGTCGGTTTTGGTGGTGTCTTTTTGCTGTTCCTATTTGAAACCTGCAACATGGGTTTCTCTTGTGAGTGCGGGCTGTTGCCTTGCTGTTCCTACTCAAGAACAGTCATTGTGGCTTCCCTGTTGGTGTGGGCTGTTCCCTTGCTGCCCCTACCTGAGAGCATTTAGGCAGTATCCCTGTGTTTGTTTTGGTTGTTTTCCCTGCTAGCTCAATTCGAGAGCCTTTGCTGGTGCTTTCCTGTGTTAATTTGGATTGCTTTCTACTGTTGGATTCGAGAGCCTTATTGTGGCCTTCTTGTGTTGAGATTGGGGGTTTGCTTCCCTGCTGCCCTTACCCAAAATATGCAGATTGGGCTTTCTTGTGTTGGTTTTGATTGGTTCTTTGCTACCCTTACCTGAAATATGCAAACATGTTTTTGGGCTCTTCTTGTGTTGTGTTGTGGTTTGCTTCCTTGCTGTCCTTGCCCGAGGCCCATTGGTCGGACTCTCCTGGCGCTGGTTTTGGTTGTTCTCCCCTGCTGCACCCACTAGTGACCTATGGAATTGTGTTTTGTGCTGGGTTTATTCTTCATGAGAGCTACTGGTGCTTTAATCATTTTTGTGGTTCATTCCCTGTGGACCCTATTCGGTATACCTACTGGTTTTAGATAGAATTGAATACTTTAATCTTTGTTGTTTGGAAGAATTTGAGTGCCCCTTTTCGAGAATCGGTTTGCTAAATGTTTGGATAGAGTTTTAGGGCCCAATTCTTTGGGCCGAATTGAATAATTGATACAATCCAAAAACCCTTTTGATATTTGTTGGGAAAGTTTAGTTGCGACTTGGAATCCTCTAAAATGTGCCTTTTTGAAATGTTTGGGTTAGCAATTGGAGCTTTTCGA